CCGCTGTGGTCCCGCAGTTTTGCCTATTTCTGCCACGAAGGGTCAAACAGACTTTATACGGCCGTCTGGTGTAGTGGTAAGTGACATGGTCACTAGACAAGGGGGTCGCGGGTTCGAATCCCGCCAAGGGAAGATATTTGTATGATAAATATGAAATGTCTTTTCCAAGGTTATGCATGTATATTAAATATATGTATGTGTATAATAAAATTCTTACATTTATTTCCGTTATCTGGTACCTGTAACACAAGTTCTTTACGAGCTTAGCACGGGATCAGCTAACGTGGCGTGATTGTTTAAAAAAAAAATACAACCGAGAGGTCAACCTGTCTCATGCTCGGTACCACCATCGAGGTTGACGGTGATCCAGCATTTCCTTAATACATCAGACTCGTGAACTCATCAGAACAACTACAATGATAAACAAAAGCAATAAAAACATATATCAACATTAAACTAAAATAGCACACCACGTAATATATATGCAAGTGTTGGCAATTAATATATTATTCTTAATTAACATATTATAGCTGTAGCAAAAATCATTGAATATCCATTTACGTCTGTAGCGTGAGTCAGTGTGACATAAACAGTGAACAGACTCGCCTTGAACCGTTCTCGTAAAAACATTGAGATTTTTTGTTGCAAAGCGTTTTTTTTTGTATTGCGCCGGAGATTAGAGTCATCGGGCGCGCGTTCTGTTTACTGTCATATTCTTTGATTTTTTAGCGTGGAAGCGCGGAATAGCTTGTTTGTTCAGAGGCTAGTCACCGCAACGCCATTGCCAGAGCCGTGAGCTTGTCTTCTAAACTACACTTAGGGTGTTCGAAGTGATTGTAATGACAGATAACAAAATGCATGCTCATATGAAATAGTAAACAAAAGCATGATGTGTTTTATCAGATCACAAACCATTATACGAGCATATTTACATAATACAAATATATATATCGGTAACTTTTAAACGTTCGTGGCTATCTTTTATATAAATAGTATTATTTAAAGGATTCTCACCACGGTTTTCACATGTAATGAATACTCAATATTTTTGCGTTTCATAGTTAAATATAAATATTATTATGGTGGTAGGACCTCTTGTGAATCCGCACGGGTAGGTACCACCACCCCGCCTATTTCTGCCGTGAAGCAGTAATGCGTTTCGGCTTGAAGGGTGGGGCAGCGGTTGTAACTATACTGAGACCTTAGAACTTATATCTCAAGGTGAGTGGCGCATTTACGTTGTAAACATCTATGGGCTCCAGTAACCACTTAACACTAGGTGGGCTGTGAACTAGTCCACCCATTTAAGCAATAAAAAAAAGATATATATTATTGTTTAACTTAGATAAACTCGTCGAACGATACAAACTAGCAAAAGCTGGAGGATCACTATTGTACATCGTCACCAACGAATTTATATTAGTATATCCTTCAGTTATTGTTGGTCAAAAACTATTACACGAAGCAAATATCAACACATAACATCTTAGACGTGTGACCATGAAAACTGTAAAATATTCGGAACTTACACAAATAATGTATTAAATTAAGAAAAAATCGAGATTAAATTCTAAAAGTGCTTATGATTATAATCTTATGGTAAGCAGCGGCTTGGTTCTGCCCCTGGCATTGCGGACGTCCATGAGCGACGGTGACCACTTACCATCAGGTGGACCGTATGCTCGTCTGCCTGCAAAGGCAAATTTAAAATAATTAATGTGATGTGTAAAGGCACCGATCTACACTTATCGTATTCAAAAGTGTGCCTCATAATATTACGTAGCTTGTTAATATGTACAATACGAATTTATCATAACGATGCTAGGTCTTTAGGTCAAGTTCATGTATACGTTATTTAGTTAAAGATTACATACGGGAATTTTTTAAATGTTCTTGGCAACTGTTACACCTTGCCTTAATCGAGTGGACAGTTTCACCTTTTGGCATAAGAATTGCAGGATTTTGCCAGCGGGCTGTGTTGAAGATAAGCCCACTGAGACCTACTCTGATTGGCTACTAACGATCAGTACGAAATCGGTCGGTAGAAGAGCATTCCATTATCCATATGCTCCGTTTCAAGATGTATTCAATGTACTCACATAGTCTTGAGGTCTTCTTCAATCTTCAAACCAGCGCGTCAAGGGACGTGGGACACATTTTAACGCGCCGAGAATTGGGCAATAATCTCCTCCTGATCACCTGTTCCGCTTGAGAGCAGCAGGTGAAAATGTAAAGAGAAGATGTAAGTCCCAAAAACTCGAGTTAGTCATTTCGACGGTACTCATCTCAAAAAAATCTAGGATAATGTCACCGTGGTACAAAATATTCAATTTCATTTGGATACAGTTGAAAGGCTCGATAAAAGATTGCAAAAGAAGATATTCTCAATAAACTTCTTGTTACATTCATACATACTACATACTACACACTACATACTACATACTGGTGGTAGGACCTCTTGGGGGTCCGCACGGGTAGGTACCACCACCCCGCCTATTTCCGCCGTGAAGCAGTAATGCGTTTCGGTTCGAAGGGTGGGGTAGCCGTTGTAACTATACTGAGACCTTAGAACTTATATCTCGAGGTGGGTGGCGCATTTACGTTGTAGATATCTATGGGCTCCAGTAACCACTTAACATCAGGTGGGCTGTGAGCTCGTCCATCCATCTAAGCAAACCATCGATATATCGATGCATACTACATACATACTATTTACCTATATAAAAATTGCTAGTCCCTTTTTTATTTGAAAATTTAAAAAAAAGCTTGTTCCTTCTCGTAATTGGAAAGCATGTGTCGTTTTTTTTCCCCTAAGTTGACCTTTTCGAGATTTCAGAAACGACTTTTCCTGTTCTTCATGTTACCTTTTGCTACATGACAGACGTTTTATCCTTCAAAAAGATTTTTCCGCGTACAGCTCTTTGTAATACCTTTCGATCCCGTGTTTTCTTTACAGGATAATACTGGCTATGCCTTAAAAACGGCTGTATGGTACTTGGTCCTGTAATAATAAGTTTGTTTTTCACAACGAATGTTTTTTTTTATTGGCCATGTAGACAGCCGAGCATACGTTTGATGGTTGATGGCTCATGAACTTCAGCACTGCCGGGGGTAGAGACAAGCCACTGCCTACTGTTAAGTACTCTCCACAAGCCTCGTTTGAAGTAGGACATGTGATAGCATTCGGGAAATGCCGTAGAGTGAATCTCATTTCAAAGCCTAATGGTACGTGGCAAAAAAGATATTTGGAAACGCACTTTGGATGAACGCAGTACGGGAGTCCTGCTAATTAAATCTACTTTTACGTTTTTACTGTCGAGATTAAATCGTAAAAGTACTTTTAATTACATGTGCAACTAGCTGAAGCCGAAGAAAATACTAGAGCATTGCTAATTATTACTAGTGGTTGGACGTCTTGTAAGCACGGGTAGGTACCACCACCCTGCCTATTTCAGCCGTGAAGCAGTAATGCGTTTCGGTTTCAATGGTGGGGCAGCCGTTGTAACTATAGTTAAACCTTAGAACTCATATCTCAAGGTGGGTGGTGGCATATACGTTGTAGATGTCTATTGGCTCCGGTGACCACTTAACACCAGGTGGGCTGTGAGGTCGTCCACCTATCTATGCAATAAATAAAAATAAATAATTTTTGAAAATTGAAAATTTAAATTCAGGGTCGCTTATTACGAAATTATAACGAAAGAGCTACTCAAAACTTAACCGTATCATTGTAGTTCAATATATTAGTAAATAACTCGGTACATGACACCTTTAATGCTCCGTTAACTTAGTGACCTTGACTGCTAAACCACTAGGCCCAGGTTCAATATCTGGTCGAAATAAATATCTATGTCAAAGATAGGCATCTAAGATCTCTGTATATCTATCTATCTGGTATCTATAAAAATGTTAGCTGTCCAAATCTTGTGGTTAATACATGTTTTTAGTACATTGTTTAATTCATATAATATTGAAGAGGGCGCGAAGCCTTTTCCGTATAGTGGGATGCCACAGGTTCGTAACAATAATATTGGGGTTCGAATGTCTTACCCGCTTTGTTTGGATCCGCTAGGCAGCGTCAGATAAAAAATTACCTACGTTAGCTGATCTTAAGGTCTAATTCTGGATTGACTGTGCCGTAATTGAATACACGCTGGTGCTAATAAATATATTACCATTGACAAGTACACTAAATATTTACTTGGAGAAAATAAATTTACAACAAATTGGCCACCGATGCCTATTGTCTGATGAGTGATTTCGTGCTTAGCTCTAAATTATTGCTTCTTTACTTTAAATTATGTTTTTTAAATATGTATATTTTTTTTTTATATTTACTAACAATCGCGCCACGTTAACTGGTCCCGTGATAAGTTCGTAAAGAACTTGTGTTACAGTTACCAGATAACGGAAATAATTGTAAGATTTTTATTATACACATACATATATTTAATATACATCCATAACCCTGGAAAAGACATTTATATTTATCATACAAATATCTTCCCTTGGCGGGATTCGAGCCCGCGACCCCCTTGTGTAGTGACCATGTCACTTACCACTACACCACACGGCCGTTAGTTAAATTAAATAGCGTATGTTAATTAGTGTAGTAATTATGTATAGTGGTGTAAATTATTTGATTACTTTTGATAATTTCAACAAAATCATACTGTTAAAATAAATTTTTAACTATGAAAACAATCGTGGCTGTATAGCGGAAATATAGTTATAAAAAAGGCGAAAAAAAAGATCCATCGTGATACAAAAAATATTTTATTGAATATTGTAATTAGTATGCGAACGAATATATAATTCGTTGTAAACAAATGAAGATTACGTCTAATTTAATATCTTTAAAATCCAGATGTTACTCGAATGTTACTTAAACGAGGACACAGTATTACGAATATAAATATTGCAATTATGTTTATATCATTGAAACAATTTATCTAATTTAATAATCTCTTGCCCGGAGCGATTAAAGTTAATTTCCTTACCTCAAACACTTCTAAAGCACAACTTCTACAGCTATTCCACTATAAACTAGACACTTCACCAAACACACAGAGTATTTAAAACCATAAAATGTACTTTAAATTTTTACGATTGTTTACGAAAATTGCGCGAAAAACATCAACACCTAGTCAAAAACAACTTTTATTACGTGCTCTCCGAGGCAGCGTTACCGCTATACTGACTTTAGCTCACTTTAGTATCTCAACATTCTACAGAACTAAACACCGTACCACGATATTAGTTGACTCTAACGACCACGAAGCATCCATCGCTGGCTTTAGCGTGGCGTTGTTCCAAATTTCTCTTGTCGAAACTTCGATAGAGCGTGTAATTGGAAAACGTAGGAAAATACAACACATTCAAACATAGTAACAGTTTTCTTAACAACGAAAACGCGTGGTCTAAAGTTCTGAGAGTGGTGTCGTTTGGTTCACTAATTGGAGCTCATTCTGAAAGTCTAAACCTGACTTTCAAGGGAGACGCTGTAACTGTACCTAAACCTATTTGTTACTCTATGGTTTTGACGAAGTAAACTTATGTATTATGTATTAAATTTAAATCAAAAGTGATTAGCCAACATCGTTGTTTGATGGAGCATGCGTTAATATTATTATTATTATTTTTATTGCCCTTGTAGTCAGACGAGCATACGGCCCACCTGATGGTGAGTGGTTACCGTCGCCCATGGACTTCAGCAATGCCAGGGGCAGAGCCAAGCCACTGCCTACCTTTTAATAGTCTCCACAAGCCTCGTTTGAAGAAGGACATGTCATAGCGCTCGGGAAACATCGTGGAGGGGAGCTCATTCCATAGCCGGATGGTACGTGGCAAAAAAGACCTCTGGAAACGCACTGTGGATGACCGCAGTGGCTCCAGGTATTATGGATGAACTCTACTCCGGTGGCGGGCGGTGCGATGGTAAAAACGAGATGCCGGTATCATCTCGAACAACTCCTTAGAGCACTCTATATTATTATATGTCAAATGACATCCTCCTTTAATCGTAAATTAAAATATGTTTTTCGAAAAAATTTGTTAGAGAAAAAAAAACTGTGCAATGTTTATTTAAAAATTTTCAATGTCTCTAACATCAAAGACTAAATATTTTCCATTAACGAAAAGCTAGGTCCGAGCTTACGGTAATACGATTCTCGCTTATAAAATTATAGTGTATATTCTGATTTAATTAAATCTACATAACTGAGTTTGGTCTAGTCGGTTTTTTGTGACGGGTAAAAAATTTTACTTACCGCGGACTAGAATATGGCTACCTCAAAAAGCTAAACGGGATCTTTTAAAATGATTGACCAACGAACCAGCTGCCATTGAGCTGTTAGGCGTCCTCTGGGGACGCTCGGACAGCTGTTAGGAAACTACCTGGATGAGCTCTTGAATTCACCGATACATCCAAGCCAAAGTCTGTGTGATCCAGCCACGATCCTTCCATTAAAAATATATACGTTTTATATTTCAGATAGTCTAGCATTTTATTGTTTGTTGAAAATAAAATGCTGTTGCTCTTTGAAGGTTTACAGTGAAGAAGATAATTACTTTATGTGAATATTTAAAGCACATTTTTTGTGTTAACATTTCTACTGTTACATGAACCGATGTATGTTGTTTTGAACGTATGTAGTTAGGGAAACAAATAGCCCAGGTCAATATGTTTTAGTGTAGCTTTCACGATGAAGGAAATACATCTCTATCTATATAAAAATGAATTGCTGTTCGTTAGTCTCGCTAAAACTCGAGAACGACTGGACCGATTTGGCTAAGTTTGGTCTTGAATCATTTGTGGAATTCCGGAGAAGGTTTAAAAGGTAGATAAATATGAAAATGCTCTGAAATTAATAAAAATAACAATTTTGTTTTCCCTTTGATGTGTCCCCCGTCGGACGGATTCCTTTTGTTTGTTTTAAGTCTATTTTATACAAAAGTTTAGGTCTTTTATTTATCGACTGAGGCACTACGAAGTTTGCCGGGTCAACTAGTCATGCAATAAAAATGGAAACAAAATTTTACCTAATTACTGGCAGGACTGGGTGAATTGTAAGCCGACATAGGTAGGTATTACTACCCTTCCTATTTGTAGGGTGCGACAATTGTTACACAATAAAATTGAAACCTCGACCTCACGCATACCATGATGGTTTTATTTGCTCTGTGATGTCGATGGGCTGCTGTAACCATTCAACATCAGATGAGCCGTGAGCTTTATCGTACCATAAAACCTCCAGAAAGTTCCATTACTGAATGAAGTTTCAACTGAGTTAGATAAATGACGCGTGAATACAATACGACTGCGACTATACAGTAGAGTCTGATAATGATTTAAACTCTCAATTTAGTCTATTACCGGGGGAGTGTATGGCCCGCGATCTAAGCGTTCTATCACCCACCTGACGTCCATTGTGCCCCCCGAGCCGCGCAGCCGGCTGTGTTGAACAAAGGGACCAAATGTCGACAAAAACAATGCCTACATTTAAAATGGCAGCAACAAATAGACATTTTATACCCAAATCTATCCAGGTGGGCGTAGGTAGTGTGTCAGAAACTTGATTTTAAAAATATATGTACTAACGGGTAGTGGGGGAGGTGGGGATAAGGAAAGTAATAGTCGTAACTACCGTGCCATCAATAAATATATAATATGTCGGAGACGGTCATTAGTTTGGTAGCTAAACGAAACGCAGCACGATTCCCGAGAGATGGCAGCACAATTACGGTATCGTCGGAACTCGGCTAACTTCATGCTACGACAGAGCCTAGCCGATGGAGGCCGCGTAGACGCCATCACACTTCCCAACCAGCCTTCTTGAAGAGCGGTGTCTCCATCCTAAGAACTGTCTTTCGTATACGTTTGCTAACGTAAAGAGGAGATTTCTAAATTGTTCTAAGACAGCAAACGTGATAGGTGTACTCAATATTTCTCTTAGCCCGATCTTCCTATTCGTCCCTACGATGTCTGACGATGGTGCTAATATTTGTGGCTTCTCCGACATAGATTTACCAACTATTCTCAGAGATCGTCAAACTGCACTTAAAGAGCTCGCTGTTCGATCATTATAAGCCTACCTTTTTTTTATTTACTGTCTAGATGTGTGGACGAGCTCACAGCCCACCTGGTGTTAAGTGGTTACTGGAACCCATAGACATCTACAACGTAAATGCGCCACCCACCTTGAGATATAAGTTCTAAGGTCTCAGTATAGTTACAACGGCTGCCCCACCCTTCAAGCCGAAACNGCACTTAAAGAGCTCGCTGTTCGATCATTATAAGCCTACCTTTTTTTTATTTACTGTCTAGATGTGTGGACGAGCTCACAGCCCACCTGGTGTTAAGTGGTTACTGGAACCCATAGACATCTACAACGTAAATGCGCCACCCACCTTGAGATATAAGTTCTAAGGTCTCAGTATAGTTACAACGGCTGCCCCACCCTTCAAGCCGAAACGCATTACTGCTTCACGGCAGAAGTAGGCGGGGCGGTGGTACCTACCCGTGCGGACTCACAAGAGGTCCTACCACCAGTAATTACGCAAATTATAATTTTGCGGGTTTGATTTTTATTACACGATGTTATTCGTTCACCGTGGAAGTCAATCGTGAACAATTGATAAGTACGTATTACATAAATCGAATCATTACATATTGTTCGATAAACTCTCTCGACAATATTGACGTTATTCATTTGTAATTAGTAATACTCAAAATCACTGGATAAATAGAACCGTGAAACGGAAGTCGTTCGATGTTATATATAGCGCTTAAATATTAATGAATTCCAATTAGCGATAGATTGCTTTTTTTTGGCTAGAAGAAGATTAAAAAGTTCGCTCCGCCCACAATATCCTTACTAATTAATCAACATACAAAATTATAATAATGTCCTCGTATTTATTTTATTTTGGCAAGACAGTCGTTTTGCGAGCAAGCAAAGCTTTCACTCTAGTGATATTATTATTTCAATTATATCTAGACCTACTTGTACTGGTAGAAGGACGTCTTGTAAGTCCGCACGGGTAGGTACCGCCACCCCGCCTATTTCTGCCGTGAAGCAGTAATGCGTTTCGGTTTGAAGGGTGGGGTAGCCGTCGGAACTATACTGAGAATCCATATCTTATAGTTGTAGATGTCTATGAGTTCCAGTAACCACTTAGCAACAGGTGGGCTGTGAGCTCGTCGACAGATATCAGCAATAAAAAATAAAATAAAATCTTAAAATGTTATACATAAGGCTTATAACATTATATAACGTTTTACATTGCTTTTCACAAATAAGTCGCCCCTAGTAAGCCCTAGTGGTTACAGCAGATGTGAGCGACGTCTGACTGTTCACAGCAGAAAGTAACAAATACCATTTCAACCTCTTTTACTTTAGACTTAATTCGATAAAATTAATTCAAGAGAGGCCGCGACGATAGTGTTTGTATTCCAATATCAAACCGTGAACGGCGAGTTGCCTCCTTACAGATGAACGTTAACTGAACATTTCGTTGTAAAATCGAAGACTTCATTTTGCAAGATTCTTGAATAATTATGTAAACTAGAGGTCCCGCAGTAGTCGAAATTCGACTATAATTAATTGGAATTGTAAGTTTGTACACTATTATGATTGTATTTTATACTTCTATAATCACAAATTTCGCCAAGGCTACGCTATAAAAATATAGTAATAAAGACAAACAATATTTAATCTATTCTCAATTTGACCACAGATGTCAAGAAAAAAAGTTTGACAATAAATAGTATGCATGCGTGTGTGCGTCAAATACATGGTATGTAGTGTGTGTTATGTTTTCTTTATTGATTTAATGTATCTTTTATGCATTATTTTAAAAACATATTAGCATTGTGCACTTCTCTATATTCTCTATACGTGTGGAAAATTTCATACTCCTCCGTCCGCGCAATTTTCGTAAAAAGGGATACAAAGTTTTTGCTTCACGTATTAATTTCAATATAGATAACTCGAAATGTGTGTACGAACGCAGAATGCGATACGTAAATGTACATTTAACGTTATAAACGTTACATAACGTTTTTGTCTTGTTTAATTATTATTATTATTGGAGTTTACTCCTTAAGAATCGATTTACATATATAGGCCCGGGGTATGAAAATTATGGGGACCAAAATCGTACTAGAGAGTATAGCATGTCACACGAAATGCGTTATGCGCCTGATTGGCTCCTGATTGGCCAATCAGGAGCCAACGCGCGGCCGCGTTATCGCAGGTGACGCCGGGCTGCTGCGCCGGCAGTCCGCCACAAAGCCTCGTACTGATCGCGCGTTTCTCTCATTATTGTATTTTCATATATTTGTTAGTCGTTTGTTTTGTGTCTCGTTAATTTGTTAATAATCTGTAGTGTATCGTGTTGTCGTAATATAGAACTATTTCTCGTATTGTTTCGTTTAATTTACCGACATCGTTTTGCTTGTGGCCGGACGCCGTTCGGGTTCGATTCCTGAACGTATCAACTGTTAGTGGGTTGATACCCGAATATAACCCGCTACAAATCATTTATTAATAAAGCTTATTAAATATAAACAATTCCTTCTATCAGTGAATGGACAACTTATATATTAATTGTAAAAGTGAATTATATAGACTTACTTAATTACCGCATCCACGTGTTCCGCAACTCCCGGATCATTCTCAATAGAATACGTAACTTCCATATTTTACTGTATTCAACTGACACAAATTTATATTTATATCCAGTAAACTCCAGTCGTGCGTCGGAGCGGACACACACACTTTTTTTGTTTTATTATTAGACGATCCATCTTGTGTTCAATGGTATTAGTTGACATAGATATCATATCTTGTATTCATTAATCCGCCATCCTCCTTGAGACTCGAGTTCTGTATCTTAAAATGTTAAGTCATTACGCAAACTAACTTATTTTGCGGTTCGTATTTTTTTACACGATATTGTACCTTCATCGTCGATATCATTCGTGAACACGAGTTAAGTACGTATTTCATCTGAAAAATCGATATCTGCTGGTTGGATTCGAAGCATCGCATCGCTCTATACAACTACAGCAAGGGATTTATTCTTTAGATGACTGTGACTTCTAAAACCAAATCCTAATTCGAACGCGAACGACCTTGACGTATCTAACGAATGTGTCACTCTTCACACTGGAATACGTAATTTACTCATCAGTGCAAGCTCACAAGAAGCCGTAACAACACTAGCACCTGTGAAATCACAGTCGATTTTGAATCTATTTATCGTTTTTTTTTTCGACCAAAATTTAATTACACAAAGTCACAAACCTCAAACGACGAAGAGATTACGTAGGAAAACACTTTCATTTTAAGACGTGTCTTATGAAAAGGTATGTAGTTTATTTCCGTGAGATCTAGTGAACAATAGAAAAACTTTCGTAACAAGCAGTTCTAACGTTGTTCTGCCCAAGACCCTGAAACCGCGATACTTTAAGACAAATATTTTTTTGGTATTGAAACTATCGACATGTTGTAGCGGATGCTCCGAAACTTATATGCTCTTAAAGTTAAGACATTTAATTATAGTGTAACTAAACACAGAAAATGAAAATTAATAAATCGTACATGTCTTTATTTGTTATAGACAAATTGATTAAATTTTATCAATTAGTGGTTTCAGAAAATTTACAAAATCCTTCATTAAAAATAAAATATAGGATAGGTAATATGTTACTTCCATTTACAGGAGCAATGAGAATCTAATCGAAGCGAAGCCATCTAGTGCCCGACGCCCGTAAACATTTTTGTTGAGTGCTTGAGTTGCTTATTTTAACTAGTTTATGTGTATTATCTATGGTTCTGCCGTGATAACGCCGAAACGCTGAGAAATATCGCACGATCAAAAAAAATTCACCTAAACGATTACAATCAAACAATTTTCACAAAAAAATATCTTAAAATCTTTTCGCATTTTTTATTATCGAGAATGCTCGAGAAGCACACCGCCATCTATTGTCAGATAGCGGAAACACACATCGAAGCTACTCGACTTGACCAGAATGTTCTTGATAAATCTAGGGATGTCGTATCGACTATAAAGGCGTTGCAGAGATGGCACGAAGTCAGTTAATAATCGAATCTACTCGAAGCGAAACAGCGAACGGATCACCTCAGGCGAAGTGGAAGAAGTGAATTGAGAATTTTAGTGTTCGTTGAGTGTTCTAACTGTTAAATACAGTTTTAATTTATACTTCGGTAGAATTTTTATCTACCCCGAACCCCAGCGCGTATCATTATTATGTCTAAGACACAAACTGGAAAAAATACTATTTAATTTCAAACACCATTAAACAAAAGTAAATGCATAACCGTAGCCCAGTTACTCTTACAAGCCGTTGTCAAATCCAAAATCGTTTATTCATAAACCCAATATTTTCGAAGTAATAATAATTTTTCAACTGGAAAATTGAGATTTGAACCGCATTTACAATTGTATACAACTCTTTGTGTACTTTATAACGAGTCAACAAACGGAATATTACAGTACTCAATTTATGTTTCTGTTGTATCAAATAAATTTCTTTCATTTTTCTGCTATTATTACAGTATAGTGCATATAAAAGATGCGTCAACGTATGTCTGTACGTAGGTAGTCATAAGCAAAATTCATGTAATAAACATATACTTTGGAAAACACTGACGATTTAGTGGAGTGTGTCTAATTAGACGATTGTCGATCGAATTAGGAGTTCTTCTCGAAAATAGCTACGAACTGCTTTTTAATATTCGAAATATAATAACTTTTACAGCAGCATACATATCATAGCTTTTACAATATAGCTTTTACATGTTGGATTAGGAAATATTTCTTATTGTAAAATGACCTGTCACTTAAAATACTGTTCATGCTTAGTCTGCTTTACGGCCGTTTTCAATAACGTATCTGAGTTTACGGATAGATAGCTATCTCCGAATATCAGCAAGAGCGTATCTATCCTTAGTTTGCGTTTCACAATCACGGATAAGTGCTATCTCTCTTTAACCAACAGTAGATAGCTTCTTCCCTCCGATTTATCCGAGCCTCTTGATACGTTTCGTTCTACTACAAATACGAAACAACATCAGGATCAAGACTTATTTTATTTTATTCTAAANTATGTGGGTTAATTAATCACGTTAAAAGATAGGGTTGTGGGGATAGCCTCTATCGGCAAGCAAATAGCAATTTCCAAGTCCACCTTGTTATCAATGTTCTCTTGATATGTAGATAATTTATTATAATAGTGTCATATTAAATTCATATAAACACCTAAATATATAATATAAATAAATAAAAATATAATAATAATATATAATAATATAAATAAGGTAATAAAATAAGAAATACCTTTTCAATCGGAATGGTTAATTATAGTTGTATCATGAGTAGACCCAGGCCATCAAGCAACAACATTTTGAAACATCAATGATGCATTGCACACAAATTACACATTCAAAATACTCTTTTTCTATTTCTAAATTCCTCTCCTATATTTGAATCTGTAACACAAATATACAATGTAGAGGTATCAGTGTGTAATAAGAATGAAGGTAAATAGCCTACCAGGTTATTGTATTAGTATATGAATGTAATTTAGGGCACCATGGGAATCCAGCAGTATTATAGAATTCCTGTTGAGTGTGATTTTGTAACACAACAAAAATTAGGTATAATTTTGCTATTGCTATAAACAAATATAAGTTGTAATAACGAGTATTTTTATGGTTAAAATTTATCTTACCTTTTTGACGTTACACTCAAATATGGTCTCATTAAATTAGTCAATTCATTCACAACACCTTCGCCATGTAATTCAGACGCTTTTTATTTTCCTAACCATATGATATCGGCCTCACTATCACTATCTGCATCACAATCCATTATCATTTGAAATAATTCCATATCACTATCATTACTGCTACAATATGGCAATATGAAGAGAAACAATTATTAAATTATAGCGATTTACTTTCGAAAGATAAACATATAACCGGCCGATTTTGACAGATAAGCGAATGCCCTTACTAGAGATAGCGCCGCCTACCGGAGAGTTACTTAAAACTCATATTGAAACGGAAGTAAGCACGATTTGTATGAGCGTTCTATCTTTAGCAGGCTATCCGTCCTCCCGACGATGGATAGATAAATCCGATAGGAACTGCTGTCCGTCGATAGGTTATTGGAACGTAAGTAAGGACAAAAATATAGATTTGTCTATCTTTAGTAACCGAAACTAGAGATAGATAGGTTATTGAAAACGGCCGTTAGTCAGTAAGGGTGAGACAGCCATTAAATGGAGACTATACTTGAGACTTTGATTTCCCTCGTGTTTTACGGAGAGCGGTGGCATTTATGTCATGATATCCAAGGGTAACTCAATACCGGGTGGTCAGTGAGTTTTTTCAAAGATTTATGCGATAAAACTTGATAATTAATCGAAAGAAATTACTCGAAAAACTAGTTTTGAAAAGAGTCCTTATTAGTAAATACCACGACCCTCTCTATTTTTGCCGCGAAGGTCTGCCATCAACTGAGAAGCCTGGCAATCATATCAACAATGACCACCGGTGCACCGTTCCATAGAATGGCACATTAATTAGCGCCATTGCCGCAATCCAAATCCTTTCTAAGACCTGCCTAAAAATTTTACACGGACGCTTTGGTGTAAAACGACCCAGGTGATATTTAGTGGGTTCAACAACCCCATGAAATACCGCAGTTTCGAAGAATGCGATGGTGACATGGAGTTTAAAAAAAAAAGCTACGTATGCGAGATCGCGACACGTCCCACTTCTAGAAATCGTATGACTAGAGAATAGAGAGAGAGAGAGAGAGAGAGAGAGAGAGAGAGAGAGAGAGAGAGAAAGGTTATTGCTAGAGGCTATACTCCATAAATAACCGAACCTAATTAGTTATATATCCCTGGAATAACATGTAATAGTTATTTTTTGGTTCGACAAACTAATGATGAAGTAAAGTTACAACACCCTTAAGCGTGGGTGGTTCCCGGCCTAAAATCAAATAAACAACGCCATTGTAACTTGACTCGTGACATGCTGATTTCGCAAAGGGCTCAGAGGTCGTAAATCTATGGCTGGTTAACTCTTTGTTCGGAGAGATAAGCAATGCAGATATGATGAAATGAATACACCACTTACCGTAAAAATGTGGATCGTTTTATTCATATTACTTTAAGTTCTTCTCCACGAAACGCTTGATCCAATTTCAATGACCCATGACCGAGATAGTATAAGCGTTGCCGCCGCTGACTACTCCCCGAATCCTGATCACGCAGGAGCCAGTCACCGTCGACGCCCTAGACACGTCCTTACGGATCCATCAGATCCAATAACCTTTGCATTAGACGCGTTCAGCTCTAATACTAGGAGCAGGCTTAGGGACCTCGGTAACCGTACTCGTCGAACTCGACAAAGAGTTCGCCGTGCAACCTAACCCATGAATCAGCTCGCTGAGTTTCTCGCCGGATCTTCTCAGCGGGTCGCGATTCCGATCCGGTAGTAGATTCATTCGCGAAACAGCTACTCTTGAGCTGTTAGGTCTCCTTTGGAGGCGCTCGGGTAGCTGTTAGCAAATCCCACCCCTCCTGGCTGAGCCTTTGCGCGCCCACCTGTCCTGGTGAAACTGGAAAGGCCTCCGGGACACCAGTAATCGGTCAAACATAAAAAAAAAATTTAAATGTGTACATGTCCACCGGTAAAGCCTATAGGCCACCCAGTTTTGAACGGCTATCGGGACCTATATACATAAAAAATAGTTACCGCTATCTACATTGGAACCTAAACTTGATTTCTTAATTGTATAGTATAAAATACCGCTCTTCAAAATCGAATAGCAAGACACGACGTTTGTAAAATAAAAATGATTTTACGTTACTCGTGTCGTCATATTCAAGTGTGTATAGAAATTAAGAGACTTAGACGATTTTCATTTTAAGAAAAAACTACAAGATAATCTTATTAGTGGAAATTATTATCACATAAATGATTTTCTTAGGGACGACATTGAAAATAAATGGAATTTTTAATTATTGGTTGAATTATGGATGAATGAATGGTAAATTATATAATATATCTTGCGCTGCACTAAAATTCGCATGTCAAATAATGACAAAGCACACACGCTGCTTTTTTTTAACTTATGTAATAACTCATTTTCACTATGCTTGGCGATTATATGATTTATTTCTTTCTTTCTTTCTTTTTTGTATATGTGTATGTATATTATAGTGCTTAGGTGCGCCATTACATAGTTTTATTAATGAACAACATTTTTTAAATAAAGTCGTCGCGGCTTAAATGATAAGACGGCTGGTGTGTCACATGCCCATGATTTACTTCCACGATGAAGAAACAACATCGTGTTATAAAAATCAAACCCGCAAATATGAATTATGACAATAAACCTCAAATCTCAAAGTGGTATTTGCGTTGTGATGTCCAAGGGCTCTGGTAACCGCTCAACACTAGAAGGATCGTGAATTCGTTCACCCATTAACCCAATAAAAAAGAAACACCAAGAACTTTACCGTAAATTGTTTTTATATAACCGAGTCACATAGAAGCCATATTTATGTGGCGCCTCGACACCGCTACCCTATATCTCATTACAAATATGGAAGGTAGCGAGACTAGCACAAAATAAACAGTCAGACCAGTCGATTGGGTCATCAATGAACCATAACATGTCTTATACGGACGTCCATAAACGGACGATACTCCTCCTTTATTGGAAGTGTACGATAATTGCATCACTCGCTCTATTGTTATAGCTGACTTGTATAAATTAATAGTTTTGTTGGCAGAGGTACCTACCTGTATTTTGATGGTAATCATAATAAACATATTTTTTCTCTTGTATTAAAATTTGTAAAGTAAAATTGTAAATTGTAATTGTATGTAGTTAATTTTTTTTATTCCTTTGTTGGGTGGACGAGCTTATGGCCCACCTGGTGTTAAGTGGTTACCGGAGTAAATAGACATCTACAGCGTAAATGCTGCCATCCACCTTGAGTTCTAAGTTCTCAGTACAGTTACTCAGAATAATTCATAATATAATTGATTCGATATTATCGAATTAATTCGATAAATATAATTAACTACGTACAATTAATTCGACAACAACAGGAACACAACAACACTAATAAGACTTTGTTGTTTAGCTTCATTAAGGGTCTGATGCGGAAAGCAATATCGCGAGGAGCTTTTTCACCTCAGACCACTTCCGAGCGGCAACTTATTTTGTACATAGAGTTTTAAATAAAAAGGTTTAAAATCTTTTTTTTTTATACCTATACGTATTTAATAAAGGTTTTTAATGAAGGATTTTAAGTTTAATTGAATATTGAAGGTTTTTCTATTGCTTTTGAAGGCACATACCACTCACCTGATAGTGAAAGGGTATCGTCGCTCACAGATATCAGCAATACCAAGAGCACAATCAAACTGTTACGAATACGAATCTTAAAGCCTGAAGTACATCACTAGCTAGGTGTTGCCCGTATTGCTTTCTGCACAGTCCTTTGTGTATGAATTGACGTCTCAGTATTTACACTACGCATATTTTATGAAGGATGAAGTTTTATCAAATTGGCCAGGCTTATACAAATAGTTAAGGTCAATATTAACTAATATGCGTTATTGATCAATCAATATCTGTGATATTGCAGAGTATATCGTAATATACACATTACAAGTATATATTAGATACATGTCTAATATGATTTTGCTACTTAATTAAATTATTCTCGCGTATTCCTGTTAATGTCTTTGTGTACACAACTTAAATTCTTATCTTATTTTCTAGGTAGGTATAGAATTTAAATTAAATAGTTTTTGTAGCTTTGGTTTTTGGTTAAGAGAATAAACAATTTCTGTTACAAGATCACATTAGTTACAAAAAATTTTAAAAGGAAGATTAAAAAAACAATCTGTCAAATAATTTACGTCTCAAAGTGAACGGCGGGATAAATGGCATAAAAAAACTGAATTACGTTGTTAAAATTGGCCTCGAGGATCGCTTAATAGGTATCTAGGCAATAAGCTCGTATACACACCTTCGCCAACAAAATAAATCGTCTCTTGTACCTAAAACCGCTGCGTCAGTCCCTAGTACGTTGTCAGAGATCATTGATAAGATGCATTACATAGGTAGCATTCGAATGAAGTATTTTCCGCGGTATCTGCCTTCCACTGCCTCACCATTTTCATCGAGCATAACATTTCTTGCTTTAAAAGGTAATAGCTTTATCTTGCCGTTGCTGATATCCACAAGTGATGATCTCCATCAGGTAAGCTGCTTCCTGGTCAGCGATAAAAAATAACTATGCGTCTAATATTTGTACTACGACTTTAGTTACAACGACATTATAATATACTAATTGGGTGTTCAAAAACTTAGTACACATTTAACAGTAATAAATATTCCTGAGTGTTTATGTTTAGTCCTATCCGGCTAATTTAAAACATGTCCCTCCGTGACCGTCTGTTAAGAACTATGGAATAATTGGAAAATTACTCCCATACTTTTTACTGGTGGTAGGACCTCTTGTGAGTCCACACGGGTAGGTACCACCACCCTACCTATTTCTGCCGTGAAGCAGTAATGCGTTTCGGTTTGAAGGGTGGGGCAGCCGTTGTGACTATACTTGAGACCTTAGAACTTATATCTCAAGGTGGGTGGCGCGTTTACGTTGTAGATGTCTATGGGCTCCAGTAACCACTTAACACCAGGTGGACTGTGAGCTTCTCCACCCATCTAAGCAATA